GAGTCTGAGGGATGGAGCTGAAGTTGGAACTGGACAGACCCTTCAAGTTTGCAGGTGTGCACAAAGGTGGCTGCATTGATTAGGGAAATGAGAGGGGCCTTCAGGGGGGTGCAAGCCAGGGAGTTGGAGACCGGTGCAGGTGGCACAAGGCCAGGTTGGTCGCTAGGACTGGGGTCAGGGAGGCCAGTGGAGACTGGGCTTACAGGGAGTGTCAATGGGGTTGGCATTCCTTGTGCAGGAGTCCAGAATGTTAGACTGCCCAATACCCAATCAATCAACAGATTGTAGTGGGTGAGCCAGTCATGTCCAAGGACTATCTTACACTCAGAATCCAATGGGGCTAAGAACAGGGTCACCAGGGTGACATTGCCAGACACAAAATGGATATTGACATCTACTGCTTGGGTTATAGTAAAGGTGGACATTCCATTGAAGAGCTGGAGTCAGATTGGGGAGACTGAGTATGGGGTAAATGAGTGTTGATTAACAAATTGATTATCTATAAAACAATGGGTGGAACTGGAGTCCACTAAAGTATGAAGCTGAGGTAATTCTGGGTTTTCTAATGTGACATAGGGGGTTAAAGAATTTGGACTGGAAAGAGTGGACACATTGAGATGAGCCTCCAAGTTTGCACAACCAGAGTCAATGCAGCTCCCAGATTGTGCAGAGTCCCAGGAGCTGCTACCTATTTTTTTGTCTCAGGGGTAGAACCTGAGCCTGAGGCTGGTGCAGTCTCAGTGATAGCCATGGCTATTCCAGTTTTCTTGGGGCATTTATCAGTGAAATGACTGGACCCTCCACAGAACATGCAGAGGTTTTCATCTATGTGACACTTGCATTCTTCTGGGGTGAGCTTCCCATCCTTACCAAGTTTGCTGGGCCCAGGCTTGGGACAAGTTGCTAGAGCTGTTGCTGTTATTGCCTGACTTTGATGAAGCTGGCTTGGGGGAAGTTCTGGAGTTATTGTTACTATTGCTGCCAGTCTTGGCTTTCTCCTGACCAGTCTTGGGCCGATTGTTGCTGCCAGAACCACCAGACTTGTTGTTACTAGAGTTGGACAAGCCTTGGTGCCTGCTCACCCACTGGACTTCTTCCTTGCACTCCCAATAGTGCGCATCTATCTCTTGGGCAAGGTGGCAGAGCTTGTGAAGTGTCTGGGGTTTGCCAACCCAACAGACCTCATCTTTGATTTGGTCTGGGAGGCTGGAGTAGAAGTGATGGCATAGTGCACCATCTCCATAGCCTCAGACTTGTGAAGCAAGCTGATTGAAGTCCACCACATATTTATTAATGTGCTGACCATCTTTCATGTGTAAATGGTTGAGTTGGCTCTCAGCATCAGCAACTGGGTTGTGAGGGCTGAAGGTGGTTTGTAGCTCTAGGACAAACTCCCTCCAGGAGTCCATCCAGAGAGGCTGGTCATTGGGGTCATTGAGTCCAAGCAAGTCCAGCTCAAACCACTCTAAGGCCATGCCTTTGAGGTAGGACTGGGTGAAGATGACCTTGGCATGGTTGGTCTTGGAAATTAAGCTTGCACTGGATGAAGCAAGCATAAAGCTTCTTGGGGTCAGTGCCATCGAAGGTATTGGGCTCATGCAACTTAGTCCTGCTTGAGGATTCAGGACTAGTGTGGGTGTTGCAGGCCAGTAGCTTGATGGCCTTTGTGAGACTGTCAAAGACCACAACCATGGGTTTGGTGTCTGGATCTGGGGAGTCCAGTTTGTCCTCCAGGTCATTCCCATCTGGATTATTGTTACTGGGCCCATCATCACTGGGACCATTTCTGGGGTCATCATCAGGGTTATTGTCATCATTATCGCCCAGCCCATCATCACTGGGGTCATCCTCAGGGATGGGAGCAGTGGGACAACATGGGGTGGGGGTATTAGATGTCCAGGCTGAGAAGCCCCTGAAAGGACTGACAGGATCTGGAGAGCACCTAGTGGTGCCTAAGGCAGCTAGTGCTGTCTTGTGGCAAGCTCCACTGGTGGAGGCAGAGTCAGGGTTGGTGGCTGAGTGGCCATGGGGAGGTTGGAAACAAGTCTTGGTTGCCATGATATGCTAGACCCACACAAGTGGCAAGTCTGAAATACTGTCAAGTTCGTGGTTGTCCAGGTTGAGGCTGGACTGGAGACCTGAAATGGGCATGAGGCCAAGGAGTCAGAGTCAGGAGGTAAGACAAAGGTACAGAGGGGTGGACTGGTTGGACTTAGCAACTGAGGCTACAGCACTATTCCCTTGTGTGGGTCTCAGTCTGAGTCCAAGGCTGAGGTGAGATTATCAGAGTAACTTAGTTGATTTCAGACTGAGGGGTACAGGCTGAGTATCTACAAGCTTATATACTAGAGACAACTATAGTACAGAGACCAGTAATGCCAGGTCTCACAAAGATTGCTAAGACAATTGGTAAGACAAATATTGGTAATGTATGACAAAGACAATGGAGACTGGGACAGGGCAGACCGGGGACAAGACCGGGCAGAACTTAACTGAAGTGACATGCACTGCAAAGCAGTGTTCACCACACTAGAATAACTGGAGATATGGGGTTGGCAAGGCTGAGGCCAAACTGAATGAACATGAGGCTGAGTCTAGCTAGGGTCAAGGCATGGCTATGACATACTGTATATAAATCATTGTACTTAGACAGCTGGAAAAAAAAAGGAGACATCAGAGTGCCCCTCTTGCTTGCATTTTATCATCTCTCAGTAATTCATTCATCAGCTTTGGTAGTTGAGACTTTATTAAGGGTCTAACTATCATCTACTTTGCCTATCATTGACTATCATCAATATACTTCACTCCAAGTCCTCCCTGAGCTCAGAATAGCTTAGGACATCAAATTAAGTCATCATCCATCCTTCTGTATGCTGACAGCAGTTGACCACATCACATCCTCTTGCATTCTTGCTCCCTCTTCATCAGGAGCACCCCCAACACTCAGCACTCATCTTTGAGTGTTGTAACTTGCAAAAACCCACCTGAACAAGACTTTCAACCATCTAGGTACCATGTAGACACACCACCACTCACTTTCTTTGTCTTTTGTGTTGGTTGTGGTTGGTTTACACCACTGAACCACACTTTAACTCACATCTGGAACCCACCACAAGGGGTCATCATTCCTGGATCAAGAAAAACCTTGTTCATGTTTGCATCCTTCATATCCTTATGCCCTAGGTCATCATAATCACCAAAATCTATCACTTTTCCCATCCTAACTCTTGTCCTCCTCATTTCATTGAATCTTGCTTCTAAATCCACCTGATATCTCACTTCTATGTCATCCACTGCCCCTGCTATTTATCCACCCATGCCACCAGCAGCTCCTTCAGCTGTGGCTGTTCTTCCTGCTCACTCTGTTCTCACTCTGCCCTTGTTTGGCATGAAATCCACTCCAGAACTCTTCCAAGGAGACTGTATCCATGTTTGCACCTTCCTGGACCACTATGAACAACTTTGTGCCTTCCATAATGTCACTTCTAACCAGGAACTTGTTGAGTCAATCCTCCAATACTGTAATGCTCAGGTTAGGGAGATTATTGAAGGAATGGCACACTGGGCTAACTTGAAGGCTGATCTCCTCAAGCACTTCAATGCTGATCTATCAGATGAAAGGTTCTTTGAAAGGCATCTCAAGAGCTTTGCCTTGGAGTCTAGGTTACAGCCCATCATGTTGCTTGAAGACTTTAGGGCATACAATTGTGGTTTCATTTGCATTCCACAGCAAGCATTTTACAATTTTCTTTGCACAAACATAGGGAAAAAATCTTTGAAAAGATACTTTGTTTTATCTCATGTTCTCTGCTGAAACAAGTGGAAATAATGTTGAATTTTGAATAGTTTTTCTGACAGAGAACATGACACAGTGGATTTCCAATGTTTTATTGGTGAAAAACAATTACCATGACCTGCCACCAAAAACCAAAAACAATCATCAAAAAAATCATTAGTACTGTTTTCTGCATGTTATGCAATACATTAATCAAATACTTTACCACAAAATAATTTAAACACACTGATCATTGAAGAACATGTAATGTTACATAGAACATCAAAAGTAAACAATATATGTTTTGTATGTGATAATAATAAAAACATTTGGCCAAGTCTTTCAATGTTCACCTGAAAAAAAAAAAGGAACAGCAGTTCAATGTTTTCTCTAAAAACATGACATGCTAAACTATAATTTTTATGTACAAGAACATGGTACTGAAAGCATGCCAAATGTTCTAGGTCAAATTACAGTGTCTTATCTCCCAGAAAACATGATAAATAAATAGTGTATTAAAATATCTTGTTCTACCACAGAATATTATAAACTGTGAAGTAGGCATGTTAAATGTAGAGGGGTTGTAAAGGTTCTGAGCTGTTTAGGTTCATTTGTGGGCATGAGCCTTGTGCACAGATCCAAGTTTGTCTCTCTTTAACATTGTTTCATAGGTGACAAGCTGGCCACTCCCTTCTAGTGTGCTTGACTTGTTTTTCCAATCTTTCAGCATCTCTGCCCTAGCTGCATCATTGGGCCATGTACATCTGTCTAAATCCTTGCAGTCCTGCTCTGCTGTGTACTTAAGTCCCTCAGTAGCTTGTCAGCATACTGAGGTCTATCTACAGATTCTACAATTATATCCTAAAATAAAAGGTGAAACACATAAAACAATACAATGTATCACTGATAAAATGACTCATCTGGTTCTTCAAATGAGGACCATGGTGGGTCTGTCATGCACAAAATATCCTGTTTGACAGTTGTGGACAGACAAACATGACAATTTTACTGATTGAATTATTCCAATATGGCACAACATTCCAGGGGTGTTACAAATGTATACTAGGCATATTTAGGACATAGCAATGCAATCTGCATGAGCCAATTTTTGTTATACTAAGTTTTTGAAATTTTGACCCAAAAATGTGGCCAGCCCCCAAAAGAATTTGTAAAAATCCTGGAAAAAGTGGAATAAGTAGCATTAGACTAGTACAGTTTGATCACAATGTCAGGGTACAGCTGTCACACTAGTGAGGAGCAGAAAAAACTGAGCAAGTCTGAGGTTTGTGGTCATGTGAATTGCTCTTAGACACAGGAATGCCCTGTGGCTGCCCTTGAAAACCCACTGTAACATGCAACATGGCTGGTCTGCATAACCAGAGCTCAGTTGTTGTTGAAACAGGCAATGTATCATTCCCTGATACACCCAAATCTGACAAGGATCAGCACACAAGCAAATGCATGAGGACATGATCTCATGCTCCCAGCCCTGAGGCAGAAGATGAAGAACTGGAGTGGAAATGCACCAATGTACTTGACAGTTTGAAGTTCACAGCCAGTGAGAGTGAGTCAGAGGATGAGCTTGAACATGATGATGCCACATTCCAGGTCATGGGTGTTGGTGAGGCTGATCTCTGTGCTCAGTTGGTCAACCTTGCCATTAATGCTGGTGATGACCCTCTTGGTGAGACTTGGTTACCTCTGAGAGAAGCAAAGTGTGCTCCCCAATGAAAGCAGTCACTCAGATGCCCCAAGGAATACAAGAAGGGTCCTGATGTCCATCAGGTCTCACAGAAAGCCATGATGTTCATTGAAGTGGTTCATAATCCTACCTTATATAGGGTCAATAACATGTTACCACTACTCTAAGTACCACATTCAATCTGGCCAAAATTTTGGCCACCCTAAAAAGTCATGGGAAAAACTTTGGACCACTGTTTTTTGATGTATTTTTACCTGTAGCATCTGAATCAAGTGTTAGTTTGCCCCCAAAAAGTCATAGGAATCCAGAATCAAAATCATTGTGTTTGTCTGTCCACAACTGTACCACAAAACATGATAAATAAATAGTGTAATAAAATATCAATATCCTGTTCTACCATGGAGCATTATAAACTGTGAAGTAAGCATGTTATATGTAGAGGTGTTGTGAAGGTTCTGAGCTGTTCAGTTATTGTCAGACTGCTGCCTACTGCAAATACAGTGCTGAACTCCCCATTTCTTGCATGAACTGCCTTGTGCTCTTTCACTTTCAAAAGTGGACTGGGGACATTCATGAGTGGTGGGGGTGCTATTAGAGGCTACTCTTTCTCTAGTCAGTCAGGGCAACCATGGATTTTGGACTATCCTGTTCTACCACAGAACATTATAATGTGTGTCATCAATGTGTTTTTGCAAGAAAAAACAACAAAGGACACAGAATACTCAAGTATAAAAAGTCAGGTGGCACATATCATGACTGACTGAGGTTTATTCCATGAGATAAGATCATGTGACAGCATGTGATGGGGTGGTTGAGCAAGGACAAGCAGTGATAGCATTGATGGTTACAGATGCCACTTATCATGTTCTGTGGTACAACAGGGCACTTTAATACACTCTTTATTTATCATGTTCTCTGGGAGACAAAACAGTGTGATTTGATTGAAAATATTTAGCATGTTAATATGGAATCTCAGTAGCATGTTTTTGCACATAACAAGTATTGTTTTAAATGTCATGTTTATGAAGTGAACATTGAGCCAATAATCTGATGTTTTGTGGGTCAACATTGAAAGACTTGGTTAAAGTTTATTAGTGTTATCACATACAAAACATTTATCATTTGCTTGTGATGTTCTATGCAACATCACATGTTCTCTAATGACCAGTGTGTTTAAATTATTTCATGGTACAACATTTGATTAATCAATTACATAACATGCAGAAAACAGTACTAATTTTTTTTGGATGATTATTTTTGGTTTTTGGTGGTGGGTCATAGTAATTGTTTTTCACCAGTAAAACATTGGAAATCTACTGTGCCATGTTTTCTGTCAGAAAAGCCATTCAATACATAAGATTATTTCCACTTGTTTAAGCAGAGAGCATGTGATAAAATAGAGTATCTTTTGAAAGAATTTTTTCCCCATGTTTGTGCAAATAAAATTGTAAAATGCTTGCTGTGTTCACTGCGAGCATTTCACACTTTTTGATGAGTAAATGTGGTGAAAAAATTGAAGGAAAAGATACTGTTTCCTTTCCAGTGTTTTCACAGAAAAAATCCAAAAGTAAATGTTGTATTTTCTTTGCATAACCTACCTATAAACATTAATTGTTGGTAATGACTATTAGGTTCAAATCTAGTGGGTATTACCATTAATTCATGTTTGCCAGTAGAGAAGACAAAGAAAATCCAATATTATTTTTTGATTTTGATTTTGAGGACATCCAAATAACTTGGTATCTTTTCTTTCAATTTTTTCAGCATGTTCTCTGATGAAAAATTTTGAAATGCTTGCAGTGATTGGAGGTTGGTTGAAGAACAAGTGAAGGATCTTGGTTGATGAGCATAATTGTTACTTTTGGGCTGGTTTGTCTCCTGTCTTTCATAGCCTGGTTGAGAGTCATCTTAGGTTGAAGGATCTGAACCTTGATACCAGCAAGCCCTTCCTGTATGAAGATGTATGCCAGTCTGCTGAAGAGGTCCTTTGTCATGATTGCTTTGATGCAGATGATCTTGATTTCCTTGGCCCTAGAGCTGCCCCTAATGCTCCTCAGGCCCAGAATAGTGCTCCTCATTGCTCTGATGGTAGAGATGATAGTGTTTGACCCCTACTCCCTGCCCATGAAGCAAGAAGAAACCTCAAAACTGTGGAGAAAGAAGCACCTACAACTCTCAAACAGGATGAGGTCAATGTCTCACATGTTGCTTTGTGACCCAGACTATTCCCTCCTGTATTATTGTGCCATCAAAATGGATCCTGATGCTGCAAAGGTCCTTCATGCCCCATCTCTTTGTCCTGCTCCTGTCACTACTCCACCAGCTCAGACTCATCCTGCTAGAAGGACCATCACTTGCTATGGTTGTGGTGTTGAAGGCCATGGTCTTGATAATTGCAAAGCAGTTAATGAGTTCAGAAGGGTTCCTTGGCATGTGATGAGAATCATCAAGTTATTTACCCTAATGGGCAGCATATTTATTGCAATGGTGAAGAGACCATCCTCCAGGCCTAAGAGTGCACTCTGGCTGCTGCTCAGCCTGCCAATGTGGTTTGCTTTGTTGTCCACAAAGATGTTGAAGAAGAATCCAGTGCTGAGATTTATGAGTTGGAAGATGAAACTCTTGTTGCCACTGTGGATCATTCCACCAAGATTACTAAGGAGAAAAGAAAGGCCATCTTTGACAGTGTCCTTATCCCACCTCATTCACATGGCAACAAGAAAGAGAATCAGTTGCCAAAGCCTTTGTCCTCCTCATCTATCCCTGCTCCTCAGAAGGCACCACTCACTCCTGTCTTTGTACCAGTTGATGTTCTTGCCCCTGCCTTCAACAGAACCAAAGATGATGCTATCATGGGAGATGATTCTGTCCCAAAGCCACTGGAACAAGCCCCTGACTCTGCAGAAAGGCCTAAGAAGTCAAAACCTGCTGCCACTACATCCCTATCTTCATCACTCTCACAATCTGCCAGTTCCAAGGCCATTGTAGATTGGATTCTTTCAACTCCCTTGACTGTATCAGTTGGGGAGGTTATTGTAGAAATATCTGTAGGCTACTACAGGATGTCAGTATAGTAGAATACTGGTAATATAAACAGACTTACCCTCAGTAGTGAACAAACTACTGAGGGAATACTAGTAGAGAATACTACAAGTATGTGCGCTTTTTATGCTTATGTAAGCACACTAGTATCGCACCTAAGTACCAACAAACAGTGGCACTTTATGTTCCAACAGTTATTGGCACTTCCAGGGATGTTTCTCAGCACATACACCATTGACCATGGAGTACATTTCGCATTTTTGACACCTCTAGTTACAGATATTACTAGGCACCTGCTGTTATTATGGCAAGGCATGCCACCCCATGTGCCAGGTGAATTGTTGTAACTATAGCAGCACTGTGGAGTCTGCAATGCAGTGTTTTAGATATGTTTTGTAAATCCACTATTTTATTTGTGCTTTTTGGAAATTTCCCACACATCTGGGAAGTGTAATTTGTTTTCTGTTCATTCAATTCCTGATGGAATGACTTGATACCTTCTACATAGGTAGCTGGGGACATGGGGCATCCATCTGAGGTATTAAGGATTGCATAAACTATGTGTGGGATGCATGGTGTGATGTTCTTTCACTTTTTCCAATCCTCTTATATCTCATCAACCAGTGACTTTGATTGAACAATCCTTTAACATGTTGTAGATACCCCCTATGCACTGATGAAATCACAGATGCATATGTCAAGAAGTGACATGATTCATGTTGTAGCACAGCCACACTCAGCATTCAGGGGCAAGTTAGTCACATGCTAGGTACATAGTGCAGGACATGAGGTAGGTGCAGTCACATGGTGTCATGTGACTCAGGTTTTGCATTGCCATGTCACCCTTGTGACCATGTGACCACAGATGTGAATCCCATCATGTGATCTCACATGACCTGTACATGCATGTGACAAACCACTGTCATGACCTGAGCCACCAAGTCACATGGTGCCCCTTTGCAACTTCATGACCATTATATCATCACTCATGTGACTGCATCACGTGACATGTTATGTCATGTGATCAATTGTCATGTGACTTCCACACTCTGGCTTGACCCTACACTTTTTGTAGTTGACAGTAGCCAAAAATGCACACTACTAAAGTGTAGCATAGCCTATGCTATTCAGCACTACCAACTACTACAACTAGCACTAGTAGGTGTTAATACCCCAGCAAGTAATAATGGCATGATGTCATCATAATGAAAGTTGTAGGTCCTGATTGTGCAATCATGATGGTATGCCTATCTTATCAGCAAGCAGAAAATTGCATGAGGAGAACACAAAACACTTATGATCAGGACCATGCCAGGAGAAATCAATGGCTGCCTTGGAGTCCCTAGGCATGGTGCTGGAGAAAACACTTTCCATGGTAGCAGCTGGGTATACCCAACTTGTTGAGAGCTCATAGGTATATACTGTAAACCTGTAGAAATATATAGACTTAATGGGTCTCCAAAGGGGATTGACTGACATGCCTGCAGCCTCCAAAGCTATCATGGGACATCCCATTGGTCTCCAGAGAGGGGTGTGGGATGTTCTACAGTAGCCTCTGAAGCTATCATGGGACATCCCATCAGCCTTGAGGGAGGGAGGTGGGATGTCCCATGGTAGCCTCTGAAGCTATCATGGGACATTCCAATGGCCTCCAGAGAGGGGGGCTGAGATGCATCTAGTATGATCTTAGTAAGGAGCACTCTTGCAGTAGCAAAGAGAACTCACATACATAGGCACTCATGGGAGAGGTCTGAATTCATTAAATTTCATTACAACAATGCACTGCTCACTGCCATAGGCATTGTATGAGTCTGGAAATGACACCACACATAAACACACTGATTGCCCAGTATTCTTCAAATCTGTGCATAATAGGTTGTATTACATGGTTTTAGAATGGTAGTGGCTCTCACATATTCCCCTACATTGACAGGTGTGCTCATCATCCTAGGAGGATCATGACAGCTATGTATGTTGTTCTGATCAGAAGTGGCATTTCAATGTGAATATGAACTGCAATTTTTTGAGCTGAGGACCCCTGTCACCTAAGACAGTCATGGGACAGTCCCAAAATATATTACCAAAGGGCTGGGATTATGGGACATCCCAGGTCCTGCAAACTGTAAATAGCCCTGGGACATGGCCAGATGTCCCTGGGATGTACCTGGTCTGAGTGGCTTTTAGCTTGAATGATTTGTAGA